TGTGTGTGTGTGTGTGTGTGTGTGTGTGTGTGTGCGTGCGCGCTGCAAAGTCAACTTCACCGGTTAATATGTTTGAAAGGGTTAATATATTTGAAATCCACTAATGTACAATACAGTTCTCAAAACGATCAATACATGTATAAAAGACAATCAATGCATCTAAAGGGAAGCATTCATTGAAATATATGTTTTTTCCCCAGTTCTCCTTCTGTGAGTGGACCCGACTTCTCCAGCAGACTTTGCAAGAGGGCGCTCTACAGTTACTTCCTCCGAGCTGCAGAGATCAGCGGGAAGAGCTACCTGCTGAGTCTTCCCGCCTACCACAGCGTCAAGGTCAGCTATAAATGATTATACGATTACTACACATTCCACCCAGCAAGCCAGTGTAAATGTGGTGAACGTGAGGGAATTGTAACTTTGTTTCATTGTGGTTTTTATGATGATGTGAATGTTTGTTTTATAGATGGAAGCCGTCGCCTACCAGAGTGTCAAAGATCTGGTCAAGGAGCAGTTTCTGAGTAACCATGCAGGTCCCTGGAATTCAAAAAGGCTGGTGGACTGCTTCAGCGTTTGAATGTGCTCCCGCCGAGAAACAGGCCACGCAAAAGTTCAAGTTCCTCTTGAGATTTAGTTTACTTCTGTTTGCTGTGCTCTTCGTTCAATACCTTTTTTTAACAGAAATTTAAAAAAAAAAGTGTTTTACATAACATATTTTAGTTTTCTGTTTGTGTAGGTGTTTGAAAAAAATAAACGAGACCCTACTGTTCTGCAACACAGTGAAGTATTTGTTAGCTTGAAAGAGTTGTGAGTGGAAAAACATGACTTATGGGAACAGTAAGCCACTGAAGTAGAATGGAGGAACATTATTACCCATTATCACATTTGTAGCCAAAATGTTTTACTGATTGACAAAAAGATGTTTTGAGTTGATAAAAATAAAAATAATTCTACCCATGCCTTGTACTGTATGGAGTTTCTATCATTTCATTCACTGTTTTATCATTTTACACATTTTTAATCACCGACTAAGAACAAAGGATACAGATCATAGTTTCAACCTCTTTTAATGCTCCAATGTCCCCTAGTTTTTACTAACCTCTTGTGATTTATATCTAAGATAAAAAATACAAAAACTACTTCAATATCATTATCAAACGTAACTCTTGCACTCTGCAGTAAGTGAGATGACCTTCCTGGTGTCAAATAGTTGAAGAAGAAAATAGGTAAAATATATGCAATTATATTTCCTTTTTTAAAGTCTCTAGTTTTATATATTCATTCGTGTATTTTCTGACTGGTCATTTAATAGTACAAAGCATTCTGAAGCAATATTTGTTTATGTACTAACAACTCTGCTAGTCTTCAGATTAAAATGTTTTGTCAAACAATACAGAATGAACAACTTTTGCAAGTGTTAAGGGAATGTAGTCCATAAAACAATCCAGGTAAAAGAAATGATGTAAAAAAAAAAAAAAAGGCAAACCTTTATGGGAGTTTTATGTAGCAATGATTTCTGTTCTTTCCACTTCTCTACTGATGAACTCCAATCAATGCCAGTGGTTTATTTAAACCACATTGACTATTTTGGATCATCACATGTCTCACAAGGAAGGTGTCAGAATTTAAAGAACAAGATGGCAGCCACATTCAGAAATGGTAATCACCTCCTGAAGTGATTCGAGGAACAACGGCAGCATAATTATTTGGTTGATCTTGAAATACATATTAACTGGCACAAAGAGAGGCGGAGAAGGGACACAGGGAGACTTGCATCATCTTAAATTAAATGTTTTATTATTTTTTCAGACAAACTGTGGAGCCATGGTTCATTGTCACCATGGCTCCATCTCACCAGTTGCTTGGCAACCAACTCCTCATTGGAACTGATGCAACTACTCATGACTTCATAATTACAGGCTCTTTATCAGTAGTTGCTAAAAACAAAAAGACAATAGGATTGCACGATAAAATGATCTAATGAAGCTGGATTACAAAGGAATTCATTTGATATATGTAGCTTATGTTAAAAAACATGCATGTTAAAGCTGCTGTTTCGGTCAGTTTCTAGCATTTGCATGTGTGTGTGGTTCTTTGTGTTTGATCTGTTGCTGGCCAAGTAAGTGATTCCTCCAGCCAGGTGTTGGGTTCTCCCCCCTGGGGGAGGGCAGAGCTCCCGTATCAGAGGGGCTCTTCTGGGCACGAGGGAGAGCCAGGGAATTCACGAAAAGGCCTGCAAGGTAATTAAACCTCTGTGAACAATTTGAGATGTGAAAATGTGAAATGTTCTCAAATGTGGTTTGAGAATTCATGCCTGGGATCTGGGGGTTCAACTTAAATTGAGCTGACAGGTGGGGAAAGAAACCTTTCAAAAATAACAATTATGTCCTCTTAGGTCCCATTACAAAGGCTTCCGTGTAATTATTTAACGTCAGTGCAGTCTCATTAATGCATGCAGTGACCTTCACTGTGATTCTGGCAGCCGAGGGACTGTGATTATGACTAAATCTGTGATCATCATCATTTCATATTCCTACAAGATGAATGAGAACTTTTAATTGTAACCTTAAATGTCTAACAAAAGAGGAGAATTAAGGCCTTCATTAAGAGTTTAATGACAAAAGATAATAATTGGGTTTTAAAGAAAAGTCATTATGGAATAAAATGGAAGCCAAACCCTCGGCTTATTATCTCTCTAAGCACATTTTCAGAAATGGCATTTATTTTGTATTCAATTTATATCAGTGTTGAACTTAATGCATTGTTTATAATTATCTTTCAGGCTTTCAAGTGTGCTATAGTGAAAGCAGTGTTGTAAGACTGATAACTGAGTTTAATAAGGATGTATGCCACTTTTGAATAACTAGGCCTCGTTTTCTCACCCAGGTTTGGTCTCTTGCAGGACGAGTCTCTCTGGCTGGAGTCGGAGGACGCTGATGTGCTCTCTGTGGAGCTGGACTTCACAGAATCCACCGATGGTACTGGCGCTTTTGGAGGATTTGATTTGGGTTTGGCCGTCACTCCCACTGATCCCGAGTTGCTGTAGTCTGGATGACAATAACAGGTCATTAAAGCCACGAGTTGCCTTTAGTGTAATTTATTAACCTAATAAGAGGAACTGTGCTTTCACAAACACAGTGACAGTACAATATTTCTTCAAGTCACCAAAAATGTAACTTGAGTGATGATCTTTCCTTCCTGCAGTGGTCAGACTATACAACCAGCACAGCCCCTAGTTGCCGCCCCCCCCCCACACACACACACACACACACACACACACACACACACTATATCACCCCTTGCTGCTGAATACCAACAAACTATGTGCAATATATAAATGGCGTTAATAACTGTGTAATATATACCTGGCTTCTAGCTAAATCCTTAGAACTGTTACAAGGTATGCATTTTAAATCATGTAACTTTTTATTTTGTATTATATCATAAATTAATACTTTTTTTGTGGCTCTTTTTCCTGCTGTAACTACGCAAATGTCCCCTCCGTGGGACTAATAAAGGTATTCTGATTCTGAATCAACATCAAGCTATGTTTGGCTGCCGTACCAGAATACTCATCAAGTCGAAAACGTCCAAAGCAGAGGTGAATCCTCCACTGTTTCCTGACATTTTCCTTCATCAGACAGTGGAATAGGAAGATGAAAAGTCCTGGAAAATACATAAAAGAAAGATAAGGTCATGATGAGCTTAGAAGGACAGTATTGGATCTTTGGTGGCTCTTTTGGCCCTCAGCAGTTATTTGTAGTGTCGATCGAGCAAGCCATTTCTATCCCAGAAGTGAGAAGTTGAAAGGGTTTCTTTGCGTCACTCTCACACATAAAAGAAAGCAATATAACAAAGGCCAGCCAAGGTAAAGGCAGTTGTGAAATAGTTGCATCATTCAGCCTCTGTTGAATGAACTTCTTTATTTTGTTGGTTTCTGTTGAACTGTGAACAAGAGGAGGGATGTTGACGAAACCTGCGTATGTGTTTAGTAAACCTTCCTCTTCAACAATGTGTTAACCAACATGTCTTTCTATTCTTGTGCATTGGTCTTTACATTTGCACATTTGCATATTATCCAGCATGGTTTTCATTGATTGTAGAACAATTGAAACCACAACCTTGCAGGGTGTTGAGTCCAGCGAAAAGGTAGAGCAGAACTACTCTGGCTGGTCCCACCGTGAAGAAGCCAACAGTCCAGGTGAGTCCCAGTAACAGAGTGATACTGGCCACTCCCTTCAGGTCGTGCATGAGTCCGCTGCGAATCCCAGCCGGCCTGTTGACTCGCATGTGACGAATCTGAATCAGAACCACGACAAAAACCTAAAAGGAGATTCAAAGAAAGATCTAGTTGAATACAGGAAAACAATAGACTTTAAGATACAGGCAAGTGCCCTCAAAAATGAAAAGGAAAAAAGGGAATTAGGAGAATACTGTGATACATTTACCATTTAAGATATGGGCATAGGCCATTCTTTAAAGTGGACCTATCATGCTATATTTGAATAATATAGTGTAGGACCATACCTATATAAGGCATATTTATACTTTTTATTTTTCAAAATACCAAACAGATCATGCATTTTAGCCATTCCTAATTTCGCTCAATTTAACACTGTCTTTGCATGGGCTGATTCTGTGAGAACAGCACCACCTACAGGCCTGGCATATGTACTACAGCGTCTCCAGCGCTTTCGAACGGCAATGTCCGTGGCTGTCTCCTTCTGATTGGTGGAGTTGGCCCAATAGCCGTAGCGCTACTTCTGTGACATCATAGAAATGTTCAATTCTGGATCAGTCTGTATCAGATCCGTTGCAGCCCCTTTTTAAGAGATTTGGGTATGGAGGAAAATAGAGAGGGTTGTGTTTTCTGACACTTGTTGAGTTCCCTGGAACACCGGGGACACATATTCATGTATAAAAGACGTACAAAAGTGCATTTTGCATGATAGGTCACCTTTAAGTATGAGCATCTTGACAACAATTCGGCAAATGTTATAACTATTTACCGCAATGTTGAAGAGAAAGACCAGCGCGGCATAAGCAACCACGGACACGTAAAACGTCAGATCGTCCTGGAGCCAACAGCTGAGGGATGGAAACAAGTAGGAACGATTTAGAGGCTATCAAACTGCTAATTCAAGTTTTGATATCAATTTCCGTTTTTAGTTTGACTTTATTAAGACCAGCTTGATATGTCACTTGTATGTGGATCAAAAGGATTAAAAAATGTTTTGCAATATTTCTTTAACTGTTGGTGACAATAATACAAAAATATCATCTTAATAATGTATTTATGCTCTTGTTTAATAATTGAGAAAATCCAGTCAAGTTTGAAGTTTGCTTGACACAAGATTTAAAAATTCTGTCTATTTCAGTCTCACAGCTGATTGAAACCCCTGTGTTTCAAATATATATATGCCTCAGGACATGAATAATTAATTTAGGATAAACTCACAAGTTGTCAGAGTTGTCTAGAGTTGGCTTCAGGCTTTGTTGACCGTGTGTGTACAGGTGACTGCCGTAGGCCTCTCTGTTCACGATAAGCACCAGGATGCAGATAACCAGAGGAATGCCTGGAGGGACAATTTAAATTAATTTATAGCAAATAATAATTTTGACTTATTTTTAGGGTTGTCACAATGTTCTGGCCAGCAACAAAATGTTATGTCTGTCAGGTGAACAAACGACTCACCCCACCCCAGAGAGCAGAACTTTAGGATGTAAGAGGGCACGTAGACGTTGAAGACTTTGACGAGTGCAAAGTACATGTTAACGGCCTCTAACCCCATCCAGGTGAATGACGCAAGGAGGAAGTAATGCATTGTGGTTGCTACAGCCACGCAGAGACCGTACAGACCCCAGGAGGACAGCCACGAGTTGACCAGAAACACCAGGTTCAAGCCCAGCAGCGCCAGGGAGAGGTGGATCAGGATCTGAGAGGGGTAGTCCCGACGAAGCTTCCT